CCTCCCCCGCCGCGGCACCGCCCTTCCGGCCAGCAACCGTCGCTAGCCGTCGCTCCTCACCGTCGTGGCCACCGCCGCCGTCCGCCTCCGCGTCGCGCTGCACGACCACCGCATCCCGCTGCTGTGCCGCAGGCTTCCCCCGCATAATCATCTCCATCTGCTTCTGGTACGCCTCCAGCTGCGTGCGGCCGCCACGACGCACAATACCGCGGGCCACGTGCAGCCATGCCTCACGCGTCTCGGCTGATGACGCCGCATCGATCATCGACGCCACGCGCAAGAGCGAGACGCAATTCTCCGCGCTATCACCGTCACTACCACCGTCTTCATCTGCACTGCAGCAGACCGCCAGCACGCCCGCCGCCGCCCGCGAGACCGCATCGCTGAGGCAGCCAGCGTCTTCCAGCTGCTTCATCACGCGCCTTTCCACGACACGCGCACACACGGAAGCAGAATATCGGCTAACTGCACTCGAAGGCACTGCTGCTTTCGTGGCTTGCACGATGCCCAGCATGACGCGGCGCACAGCATCCAGTAGAGCCATGCGGGCGGCATCTGAGGGCGTGCGGCACGACACGGCACCATGCAGAACGCTTCTCACGCAGCCCCATACAGCGGCATCAGGCGGCGACCGTAAGTGTAGCGACATGCACCCAAAGAGTTCTAGCAGCAGCGCCGATACGAGCGGGTCAAACGCCGTGGTGGTCGCCGAGGTCCCCACCGACACCGCTGGCAGCAGGAGCTGGGGCACGAGGGCGTTGCACACTACCGGTGCCACCAGCATGGCGTGGCGTGGCACCATACGTATCATCGCCACCAGCGCTGCTATTGCCGGGGTGCCAGAAAGACCCCGCTGTTTCAGCACGCGGGCCGCAAACGACACTGCCATCGCTGCGGTAGCGCCGTCATCCTCACCGTGCATCTCGCCAAGCGCGAGCACGACGCCACTGAGGTAATTCGCGTCGGCGCCCTCATCGTACTCCTTCACCACAGCGGACGTGAAGCTGTCGCACCGGTCTGTGAGTGCGGCGAGACGCGCAAGCAGCCGTGCCGCAGCGATCCGCACCGCCCACGAATCGCACGCCAGCCAGTTGGCGCTGACGAACGCGAACCAATCCTCTGCTGTTGCTCTTGGCACACCCACACCGCCCCGTGAGAGAATGCCGTTGAGGCAGCAAAGCACGTTCCACGCCGTCGCCGCCGAATCCCCACCCGTTATGGAACGCCACTCGCGCAGACAGTCAAGCACGCGTTCCACGCACACAGCCTCGCCGTCCGCACAGCCGCTTGCAATCACATCCACGGCATGCTGCGCCACCTCCGCCTCTTCCCACCTCGTCACTGCAGGCAGAAGCCGTTGGCGGTCATCGAGGCACTCATTCGCTGCGTCTGGCAGAAGAATCCGCAGCTGTTGTTGCTGCTTCCCTTCCGCCAAGGTTGCGGCTGAGGATTTTTCCAGAGCCGCTGCTGCTGCTGGTGTCGTGGCTAGAGCGCACGGCACGCCCGCGCGGATTGCCTCCTCCACGTCTGCGAGCGCCTGTGTCACGACACCGTGTTTGCCAATATCGTCGGCGCAGGCCGACCACGGCACCCCGCTGAGCAGTTGGTACGCCGCGGATTTCACCTTCGGCCCCATCGGCCCACCCGCGACTTCGATCGTCTCTAGCAGTGCGATGACAAGTTTCAGCTCCAAGTCCTCCGTGCCAAGTTCGACCAGCACGGCACACGCAGAGGTAATCGCACGGGCGAAGAGCGGCGCACTCGATGGGTTGCTGACGAGGAGGCTCAGGAAGACACGCACGGATGTCTTTACATTCGATACGGTGGCAAGCGAGAGACGCGCGCGCTGGTGTAAGAGCAACAGCAGTGCGAGGCGGTTGAAGTACTCCACACGGCACAGAAAGGCGCCATTTACCGTTAACGGTGGCGGCACCTCGATGCTGAGGCGCGCAACTAGTGCGAGCAACGTCTCCATCACCGATGGCTGCTGAAGGAAGTCCGCAGACATGGCACCCAAGGTCTTTGCGCGCAGCATCACGGCCAGTGGCAGCGGCTTGTCTGGCTCCAGCTCACCACTCGCGACGTACAATTCCCGCAGCAGGCCCCGCCCACACGCCTCGCTGCGCTGCGCCAAGCACGCCATCGTCTCTGCGGTTGCCTGCGCAAGGGAGGGGTGCCGCGCGGGGACCTGCAGCAGCTGTGTCCACAGCGCCGCAGCAAAGGTGTGTGTGGCCACCGTTGTGCGGAGGACGAAGGCGAGACACAGCAGCGCGGTATGGGTCACCGTTTTCGTGCAGTCCACGTGAAGGAAGCGCGCGAGGCTCACGACGAGGGCGCCGCGCAGAACGTCGGAGCCAACGCAGGCGGCCCACCGCTCCACCGCACGGGACACGATGAGCGGCATGTACGTGCGCTCATCGTTTCTCTCCGGCTGCAGCAGCTCAAAGAGACGGGTGATAGCCTCGTCCATCAGCGGCGGCAGCGCGGCCATCCACAGCAGTTCTCCGATAGCCACAGAGAGAGTGCGCTGCACCGCACGAGTCATGGTGCCGGACTGATAGATGCGACTTATAATGCGTGCGGACTCGTCCATGCTCACCGCAAAAAAGTGATCCAAGCCGCCTGCACGCTGTGGTGCGGCCAGCAGGCGCCCAAGTGCCACGCCCACCGCGTCCTGGAGCTGTGGGGGGAGGTCGTTGCCCCCCACGACGTAAATGAGCATCTCGCGAATGGTGGCAAAATGCGCCGCTTCGAGCGAGATGTCGCCTTGCAGCAGCACGCAGATGGCCTCCACCGCCGTCTGCCGCACCAAAGGCTCGACGCAAGACACCGCCTTGCGCAGATATTCCAACCAGGCTGCGGTGAAGACGGGCTGCTGTTGCAACACATGGTCGCCGCCTCGTTGCTGTTTTTGCTGCGGCTGCTGCTGCTGCTGCAGGAGGAGACACGGAAGCAGTTCCAGTGCGGCCACCCGTGTTGTGACTCCCACTGTCTTGACGGGGTGCGGGAGGTGGTACCGCGGCGCGCACTCTACGCGTGTTGGTCGCCGACGGAGAATGACGCGCAGCAGCGTCAGTACGGCTGCGAGTACACCACTGGTGCTGCTGCGGTCCTTCGACAGCAGCTTCACTGCGTCCCAGAGCTGCAGTGCGAGATGAGAGGCATTGGCGCTCGGCTTCGTGCGTGCCAGCATAACATCGACTGCGCCCACCCACGAATGCACAGCCATGCACGAGAGCTGGTCGCGCTGCACGCTCTCCACGGCGAACCCCAGGACGCCGGAGACGACGCCGTTCGACACCGCCGCCCTCCACTCGTTACTATCCATGGCAAGGACATGGGACTCGATGAGTTGCACCGCCTCCACATAATCCGCCTGGTCCTGCGTACTCAAAGGCGATGACGATGACGGCTTGGCTGCAGCCAGCCGTGCCGCTGTGCCGCGCAGCCTCTCCAGCAGCGGCGCCAGCGAGTCCGCGATGTCGGTCTTCCTCATTTCCTCCCTTTTGGATTGTTTGCACGAAGTATCGCACAGACACAACTCTACCTGTAAGACCACACATGAAAGAGAAATGGGAATGATGGCGTTCACGGCACGTGCACCCACCCACACAGAGCGAGGGGGGAGACGGAGAGAGATGGGTCCGCCAAGAGAGAAACAGGTCGGTTGAGCTGACTGCAAGCAAAAAAAAAAAAACATATGCATCTCTGTACATTATCATCATCACACGAACGAGCAGGTACAGTGGAATCTACGCCCGGAGGCGACTGATGGCCGCTCCCCAGGTCGTCTGCCACACCGCCTCGCGCGTCGTCCACTCCTGAAAGGCGCTATCTGCGTTACCGGCAGCATCCGCAGAGTGTTTGTTGAAGAATTCTACAGACTGCTGTGTCAGCGTCGCGATCTCCTGGTGCACAAGCGTCGCGGGCGCCACAATGGCGACGGTCGGCGTGCGCTCCTCCACCTGTGGAACGTTGATGATGTCGACCTTCGGCCGGCGGCTGCTTGCCCCCGTGATGGAACGCGACACCACCGACACGCGCGCAAACGCCGGAGTAGCGTCCGTGGCAGATGCGGCAACAGCGGCGTCGGGATGGGCCGCGTTAAAGTTCTCCAGCGGTCGGAAGGCGCGAAGCGGCACGCGGCCGTACTCCACTTCGCGCCGCGCCGGCAGCGGGAGCGGCCCACCCGCGAGCTCCGCAGCAGCAGCAGCAGCATCCTTCTTGCTGGTCGCCGACTTCTCCGTTTGGGCGGTGGCACCGCCGTGCTTGTGGCGTGGCATCGTCTCCTGCAGCCGGCGCTCGCGCTTGGGTGACAACTGCTGCTGCTGCTGCTGGATCTCCTTCGCGTGCTCCTCTCTCGCCTTGAGCCGCAGCAGTCGGCGCAACCCGCGATGGTGGCCACCGGCGCCGTCGTCGTCCGCCGGCTTCAGTGACTCCGGCGTCACAAGCCCACGCAGGAGCGCAAAGAAGTTGTTGTTCACGTTGAGGCTCCGCGCAGCGTGCATGGCAGCCTCCTCCTCCATCTCACGCATCACACAGCCCCACAATCTCTCAATCGCCGCCTGTGTTACCTTCTGCCGCACACCCTCCGCGCTGCAGAGCGCCTCGAGCCTGCCGCGGTTGTAGTTGGACGCTAACGTCACCTTCACGAGGCGGTCATACATCGACCGTAGCGCATCCGACTCGCTGTAGAAGCCGGAGAACACGTCGAACACCGTCGCAACGCGGCGCTCAAGTGCAGTGGCGGACATGGTGTACGTGGTGTTGATAAGGTAGACCGGCATCTTCTGCATCGCGTTAAACACACGCCACACCTGCTCGCGGTAGCGCCGCGCCGCGTGCTCCACGTGGTGTGCGACACGCTTGCGCTGCTGCTCACACACGTTGTTGCACATCTCCAGCGCGTCCTCCTGGCTGCCTTCCGCCATGCCAGGCAGGCGGCGTGTGAGCGGCAACGGGTGCGCCGCAAAGCGCTGCTCAACGATGCTACTCACCTGTGCCTTGACTGCATTGAGCCACTCACTCACCTGCGCCTCCGCCGGCATCATGTCCGGAAGCTCTGTCACGGCGTAGAGCGACGCCAGCGCGCTGCTTGGTGGTGAGGGGGGTCGCACCTTACGTGCAGAGCGTCCTTGCGGCGACAGCGAAGTTGCCCCCGCTTCCTCGGCCGTAGGCTCCGATGCGGCGCCTAGACGCGGTTCAATGTAGTTCTCCTGCGGTATGTTGAATAACTCTACGCCGTACTGCAGGCAATTCAGGTGACGACCGCGCGTGTAAAGAATCTCACGGAGCTGGTCAATGAGACGAAACACCTTTGCCGTGTCGCTTGCGCGTATTTGGCGCTGGATATCCAGTTTCACTCCCGCCAGCTGCTCATTCAATTTCACCTCGGTCAGGCGCATGCGGTCCTCCGTCATTTGCGCTACAACCGTGTCACCAGCACCGGCACCAGCAGCTCCTGTCCCACTAACGGCGCTTTGAGGGGCTGAAGAATGCGCCTCTCCTCCACTCATAGCGGCCCCAGCAGCAGCGTGGTAGTCGCGGCTTGTGATCTCCTGCAAGGTACTGGAGAAGTCGTGCATTGGGGGCGCCTCGCTGAGCCTCTCCTCCAGCTCCGTCACAAACCCCTCGATCTTGGCCTCGCTTGCCTCGGAGAGCGTGGTGAGAGAGTGCACCTGCACCTTGAGGCGGGCAAACGTCTCCTGCAGCCGTGCAAGCATCTGCAGCTCCCCCATGTTCTGATCAAACGCCGCGGTGTAGGTACTCCTGGCCGCGTCGACGCCCCGCATTTGTGACTCACGCTCGGCCGTGAACTTCTCCTTTAGGGCTCTCGCTGCGCTGTTGAGCCGCAGCAGCGCATCGACCGCCTGCTTGTTGGCACTGTCGTCGTCCCAGTCGCTGCATCCCTGCAGCTCGCTAAGGTTGGCGGGCACGTTCACGCCATGGGAGATGAGATAGCTGCGGCACTCCTCCTCCAGCGCCTCCTGCTGCTTCTCCACCTGGTGTATGATGTCATGCTGGCGTCGCGACTCCTCCTCGATGGCAGCGGCAACGAGGCTGGTGAAGTTCCGCTCCTGCGCCACCAGCGCATTGACAGAGTCCGCCTCAGCGGCCATCTTCTCGAGATCCTGCAGCTGCTTGAACAGCTGCGCTTCGTGGGTCTCCGCGCTGGCGTCGTCCTCCAACGCGGACCACGCATCCACCAGCTTCGCCACGCGATCTTGCAGACGTGTGCAGTGCTTGTCTTCGCTTGTACGCGTGTTCTCAATCTCGCGCAGACGCCCCTCGTACGACTCCGCCTGCAGCGTAGCCGGGCGGCGGCGGTGGTGTCGCAGCACCTCGTTCGTCTCCTTGTCAATCGCCGACTTCTGCACAACGCAGTGCCCTTGTACGTACTCTAGCGAGGTGTGTCGAAGGTGCACGGTCCAGTTGAGTATCTCTAACCGTAGCATGTCACGCCAGTCCTCCACGGCAGATACGGAGAGCTGCATAGTCTCTCCCTCCACCTGCATCGCGTCCTTCAACAGCAGCTCGTAGGTACGCACAAAGGCCACCGGTGGGGCGGGGGCTGGCAGGGGTGATATCCGACTGGAATTCGGGCCACTAAGCTGCTGCTGCTGCTTCCCCTGTGAACCCTTTCCCTTCCTGTCGCCGTGTTGCTGCTGCAGTTGTTGTTGCTGCTGGTTGTGGGGTGACAGCTTCTTCTTGTTGATGGGCGTCACCGACCTTCGTGCGCCGCGGCGTGACGACGGCTGCGGCGACGGCGGCGTTCCCACTGGCACCACGTTCGGCTGCTCCAACGTCATTGGGCCAATGATGTAATACAGCTGTCCGTCCGCCGCGGTGATGCTCGGGTACGACGGTGCCTTCTCTTCCTCCTCACCCTCGGTGTTGTGCTCCGCCACCGCCTCCTTTGCGCGGCCACGTCGCATGGTTGCCTCCGCCGCCGCCGCAGCAGCAGCCTCCCGCTCGCGGCGCTCCTGCGCGAGACGCTG